TCTGATCACTGGATCATGATATATTGTAAAAACAAATTAAAAAAAAAAAATTCAGGGCAGATTTGCAGGAGAAACGGCTTAAGGGATAGTAAAGGCATAAATAAGTATAGTAAAGGGTATATGAATAAGAAATATGGTTTAAAACAACCCAATTGTTTATCAATCAAAATACCAAACGTGATGCGATTTTATGATAAAAATTAAAATCACGTGTAGTACAGTATTACGAATCACGTGCATTACAGTATTACGTAATTGTTTCATTATGCTACATACTTGGTGATTAGAAAGATTAAATATATTGATTGTTATTTAGCATATATATGACTCGGTCTTCATGCATTCACTTGTCATAATTTCAGAATAGCGAAACCATCATGCAATGCGTTCTCATTGTTTCATTGGTGCAAAGCCTCTTATTATTTCTATTTTGTTGAACGGCTGACAATTTTAAATGTAAGTTTAAAGAGTAATGATTTATGACTTTTTTTTTGAATTGCTTCGAAATATCCTTCATGGCAACATCACCACCACTTTCATGTCCATTCACCAAATTATGTGTCGATAACAATATCTGAAGCCACTTATTTCATCAACGATTCCAGTAAACTTCATCACCCACATTCATTTTCGTTACTAAATCCAATGGTGCATCCATCACTACCTTGTTTCATCTTGATAACGATGTCCAATGTCAACCGTTCCACCAGCATCACCCATATCAATGAATCTTTGATAACAAATGGATGCGTTATCGTTGCCTCCTTTTACTTTATTTCCATTTTTTATGGCAGAATACAGTCCATTAGTTTCTGCACGTTCATTCAATTTGATCTCAATTCCGTTATAATAATATCCTGCGCCTGTATTCCATCAGCGTTCTCCATGTCACAATCTCCCAGATCATTTCCTATGTTCAAATCTACCATTCAGAAGCTCCACGTTCACCAATAGCAGACTTCTGGTTATAACCGAATGCCTTGTGCTTCTTCATTTCATCACCGATTCCAATTTCATGATAATAATTGCCCGCGTTAGAATTGTTTTAGCAAATTCCATTTCAGTCGATTTTTATAATTGATAAACGCTCTATGTTCATCCTTTTCGATCCTTACTCCATTTTGGTAACAGTTACCAACACCACTGAGTTCATTAACATTGTCCATATTAGCGGATGTTTGATCGCTGTTGAATGTTTTACGTTCATCACCTTCGTCTCCAATTTTCTTCGTTATCAGTAGCACCTCCCTAATCCAATGTAATACATCTTATCGGGACGGCCTGAATTTTTGAATTTTCTATTCGAACATCCATTCTTTGATTTGGACAACCACGCGTCTTGCGTCCTTTCTAACGACACTGTAACACGATCGTGGACGTGGACGTGGGTGCTTACATTGGTGAGAATGACATTTCCGAACCTCACATTTTGATTTTCTTCCCTTAGTGTACAACAGGAGCCAAGTTCCGGCTTGTGTTAGTGTTACAACCCATTTTTTATTGATGCCATTCATTATAACCTTATTCGTTTCACTTTAACTTTAGTTCACCGTTTCTTGTCTCATAGCTTTTGATCTCACGGATTTGGTCTCACGGTTTCGCTCTACTTGTTATTGCGAGAAGTATTGTCCTTACCCAGGTTCTTCTCTGTCGTAGGTTAATGAATGTTCGTGGCAAACAAAGTATAGGCTCAAACGATATATAGTATCGTAGACTTGCTTTAACTCCAACTTCCTTTACTAAACACCCAACTCCTTAATTACAACATCCTTCTACCTACTAACACAAGGCACAGCGTAACAATTACTTTAGTACAGGTTATCGTTATTACAGTATCGGTATTATTCAAGAAAAATTAGCCTCATTTTTATGTTCATATTTATTTAATTATCATGTGTGCTTACATCATTGATTTTACTACGTAATTGACTCAAATTACACTATATATTATACTTTTACATTGCAAAAGCGGCATCTACTACTACGTACAATTTACGTTAAACGATGTTTGTAGTACCAGATACGTTGGGGTGTCCAATGTCCTATGTAGATCAAATATATGTATAGTCTCATAGTAAAAATAACTAGTGTATTTTTTT